AGCAGGAAATGCCACCTGTGCCCAGCTTTGGGGAATGATTCAGGGAACAGACACGCTACGTGGCAAGTTCCCTGACAAAGCTGCAGAAATTCCATTGACATTTGTCCTGTCAGCTAATGCTGACTGAGCTTTAACTTCCCCTACATTGCCTGTGCACATGTGACCCTTGGGATTACATTCACATTATTAGCTGTACCTAATTTTTTCCAGATGCCAGAGAAGTACTGATGGGCATATTGTAAAAGCGAGAATGAAATAATTGTAATCCAATAGCTGGGAAGTATTTGTGCTGGCAAGGGAGAGCCATGAGGCAGGGCAGCCTGAAAACCAAGGGTATGAGTTAGTTACCTATGGATCTCTCTGTGAACTCCTGACCTCTCTGGGCTCTATGAGGCTTCATAGAGCTCTTGCAGGACTCTCTGGGTGCACCTACACAAGATGCTGACTCTGCAGTCGCCAAAAAATACTGCACAGTAGTGCATCACAGCACGGACAGTGCTAATACGCTACTGCACAGTATTATTAGGCTGCTGTGCAGTAGCATCACCTAAAAGACATTCTCTGGCACTACTGTGCAGTAACTCTGGTTACTGTGCATTTATTTAGTACTTGATAATACAGTACTAAATAAAGGCAGTAGTGTCAAATGTAGAAACACCCTCTGTGTCTTCAGAGAGCTGTGTTCTGCTGCTTTCAAGAGTTATAGACCTCAAGGGTCCTGAGATCCTGCTTGTCTTCCCACAGTAGAATTGCACAGATCCCTTTTATTTTAGTATTTGTGAAGCAGAGAAGGAGGTGGGATCTGTCTAGTGAGAATCACTTGACCTAGATTTGTTTTGTGTTTTTTCATGCCATCTCTTCCTCCTGGCTTCACCAATCCTCATGAGCTCCTAACTAATCTCAACAGTAGTTGTTTACTTTCTTTTCTTTCCTTATATCTTCATTTCGCCTCCATTCTTTTCAATATTGACTGACATCTCACAACATATTCAGACATGGTATAATCAGGAACAAGTCCAGGGACTTCAACAGAATTGCAACCTATTTTAATTTGACCCATTATGTCACTCTGTGTAATAGCACATGGTATTTGGCAAATAATACACTCCAATGCAAAACAGTGGCAGAGAGAGATAATTCTTGCACATATGCACACACAAAATCTTATAAATGTATGTTATTCTATGTATGGTTACTCGTATAATAAATCATATTATTATGGAAATATGAGTCATGGGACCAGACAAAGGCTATTTTAGGAATAACAGTACTCAGTTTCCTGTATTTTATAGGCATACAATCTAAGCTTTGGTGTTATGTTAACATAATTTTTGTCATATTTCTTTTAAAACATTAATATTTTTAAACAGTCTATCTTCCTAAATTTATAACTACTAAAAATTATGCTAGAACCTAAAAACCCCAGTCAATATTATAGCCACTTGCAGGTAGATGTACAAACCCATATGATAATGTACATGTATGAAGTCTCCTGTAAAGAACTTGCAGTTAACAGAAGACAAATATTAGGGAGGGAGGGACCCACATCAATATGTGTGAGTATGGATAGCCCATTATATCATATAAATTATAATACAAAGAATTTATTCAATTTGTAATTTAAGCACCTAGTATACCCACCTACCTGTGCGATCTTTAACTGGATGGTTTCATTTAGGCATCACAAGAGAGATAGGTAGTGAAGAGAAAGAAGAAGAAATAGATGTTTCTGTGAGAAGCTTAACACCAGATGCAACGGGCAGATCTTGGGAAGGTAGAAAGTTATGCTGTCAGAGACAAGAGGGCTTTAGGCAGCAGCAAGGTTATGAAGTGTTTGGAAGATGAAGACAAGAAGTTTAAACTTTTCAGTAATGTTCAGTACTGATGTCCCCTTCTATTAATTTCTCTTCCCTTTTCACAGTGCTTCCTCAGCTTTGCTAATAATACCAGCCTGTCTGTTAACATTTATAGGAAAGTTCAAAACTACAGAAAAGTGATCATTTCCTGTTGAGTTCTGTATGACTTGACATAAGTGTAAGAGACCCAGGGCCTGTATTATCTGGGTCTCAGCATGACTATATGCATTACTGTTGCAATCCAGGGCATGGGCGACTGGTGCCTCCTGAGTCTTGTGGGGCACCCACAGAAGATGCCGGCAGCATCGGTGGCAGGGATGGAGCTGGCGAGCATCCTCAGACACTGTCAGTGATGGGGGCGGAGCTGGCAAGCTCCTGCAGATGCTGCTAGTGGCGTTGGTGGCAGGGGAGGAGCTGGTGAGCTCCCGCTTAAACCACCACCAGTTTCAGCAGTGGGGATGGCCCTGTCGGGGAAGGGGGTGACACATGACCCAGGGTCCGTTAGAGGACTAGAGAGAGTGTAGCAGTCAGTAGAATATAAGCTATATTTCACATTGAATTGCAACCCCTTGGGACCTGACTGAAATATAAATCAGTGTAGTGTTTGATCATGTCAGGAGAATTCAGCACCTGCTATTAGTGGAAAGCCCAAACCTAGATATTAATATGAAATCTATTCAGAGAAGGCAAAGACAAGAATCATAACAAGACTGATGTTTTATAGAAAGTAATATTCAAATCATCAGAGTGCAAAACAAGTATCTAAAATATCTTCAATTTTAAAGATAAACTTTAAATGAAATAATCCACTGATTCACCATCTCACTGGATGCATCTACATGTGCAATTAGCATGGAGGAATAAACTCTGTCAGCAGCTCCCAGGCACAGCATATACATGTACACCTGGGACCACAGCAGTTTGAGCTGGGGTGGAGCAGTCCTGGTCTGGCAGCAGGCTCGGGGGGTCAGCTTCTGATCCCAGGTGGTGGCAGCGGAGGGGCTGGTTGGAGCACAAGGGTGCTACAGTGTGGGACTAGCCAGCAGGCAGCCCCCACAATGTAGCACCCTCATACCCCAGCCAATCCCTGTCACTGTCTACACATGCATTGAGTTGGCATAAATTACTCCACCATAGGATAGTACTTGTCTCGGACAGTACTGTCCTATGGCGGAGTTAATTAATTTACTGCACCCTAATATGGGTGCACATGTAGATGGTGATGCTTTACTGTGCACCTAATTTGTCAGCTCTGCAATAAAGGCACCCACTGTCTCCTTTATCTGTTTAAAATTTAAAATCTCTTCCTCTTCTAAATATTTCTTTAAATATTTATTTTCTGCTTTGAAGAGAATTACTGCTCTCAATTCCAAAAAGTTTTCTTTTTTAGTTCTAACTATAAAGCATTTTGTGATATATCACGCTGTCCCAGGGGATGAAAAAAATAACCAAAAGGAAGGGAATTAAACTCATTTAATTTTTTTCTTCATTTTTGTTCCATTTTTCTCAAGGTGGCAAGTCCTACCAAGTCAGGCTGAGTTATTCCACTAGGGCAGCACCACAACTTCCTGGGATTAATTTAAAACATAACCATCTATAAAAGGAGAGAAAAGAATATTTCTTCTGACGGGGATTATCTCAGTGATTAGGATTGTAACCAAGTATTGCGTAGGAGATGTGCTGATGGCAAAAATGGTTGTCAACTCATGAAAAGGGGTTTATTTTGTATTATTGACCTACAAGAAGAGAGCTGGCTTATGTTATCTATAAAACAGTAATGTTATTGTGTTCTAATATTGTTGGATGACAGTGATCACAAAGATGATTAAAATCCTGGCCAGCCTAGTGGAGTATTTCTATTGTGAATGTGGGCTGCCTAGTTCCTTAAAAGGCTCAAGGACAGTCTGAGCAGCTGCTCACAGCACTGCTATATAAAAATACAATTTTATTATGTATCTTTTAATGTTATATATATATATATAGATAGATAGATAGATAGATAGATATATAGATATATAGATATCTATGTTTGGCTCTTTTACTCAAGTTCACTAAGCTGGCATCAATCATAGTTTCTCTCAGAGCTGCTCTGCACACCAAGCTGCACCAGTTTAACTTAAGGTATGATTTAAAATAGAGATAGTTAAGCCAGCACCTAACTAAGGCTATATGGGCAAGCTCATTTCAGTCTATTTTAAGTCATTTAGGAACAGTTTTAATCTCCCCTCTCTAAAGTAAGCTGTAAGAGCACCTACACAGGGGTTTACATCAGTTTATCTGTGCCAATTGAATTAAACCAATGCAGATTTGTATGTACCAGATATCATAGTTAGATCCTATTAACTATAGGTGTAGTTAGTTAGAAATAGCAGCTTCATTCTGATTGGATATTTTGAGCTTGTCTACAGCCTGTGGAAATGCCAGCTGGCTGTGTTTCATGGCTTCATAAAACAACTCCTTGGCAAGTTGTGGGGGGAAAATGCATGCTTGCATGTTCCTCTCTGGAAGGTAAGCTTGAATCCAGTTATAAAATGCTGATGGTACTATTAGGTATTACCTAGCTATTGAATTAGTGCTTAAAATTGACCATTTCTTTTTCTTGATGTCAATTGACTAATCATAACTCCTTTCCCAGAAAACTTACCAAGAAAAACAACAGTTTCCTTTCACAGCATCTGATGAAGTGAACTTGGGTTCATAAAAGCTTGTACTCTATGTATACCATGTATCTTATTTAGCTAGACTATAAAGGTGCATATCTACCCTGCCTTCTGACTGACTTCAATCTAACACTACGTCATTCTTTTTTAAATGCAATTGGCTGGAAGCAGAACAACACAAATCTTCTCTTGACTCCTCTCTTCAGCTTTGTGATCATTTTATCTAATGATCTTAATGTGATCATGAGGAACCCAGTCTTTTGGTTACATTTAGCTACTTAAGTCAGCAAGTTTATGCTTTACAGTAGGGCTAGGGACAGACATTACACATAAACCAGTTTAAGTGATCAGAAACTGGTTTAAACCTGTAACAGAACAGATGTTCAGTGCACATAAACTAGTTTGAAAATGGCTGAAACCGGTTTGAGATAAACCTTGTTGAATGTAGTATCAGACTTAACTGATTGGGCTCAAACCAGTTTATGCAATGCCTGTTCCAGACCCCTTGCTGATTTAAGATAAACCAGACACCCCCAGCATGCTCTCCGGGCTGGGTGGGGCTCTCTGCTCCACAGCAGGGCTGGCCCCTCCCTTCTGCTCCTTGGGCACAGCTCCTCTGGCACAGACTTGCAGACACAGCATGGTCTGCTGGCTTCCCCATGCTTCTCTCCCCCTCCCTTACCACTTGCTGCTTAAGCAGGGATCCCTTCCTCCCCTCTTCCCACAGCACAGACCATAGCCAGCATGTGGTGTGCTAGCTAGTGCTGTGTAAAGCTCTGGCAGACTGCAGACACAGCAGGATCTTCTGGCTTTCCCCTGTCCTACCCCCCCCTCGCTGCTCAAGGAGCAATCCCCCCTCCCTCCATCCCATCTCCCACAGCACAGACCCCATTCCCATGGACCCTAGGCATGTGGTGTGCTAGCTAATGCAGAGAGGTGTCTCTGTGTGTGTGTGTGTGTGTGTGTGTGTGTGTGTGTGTGTGTGTGTGTGTGTGTGTGTGTGTGTGTGTCCAATATAATTGGAACAGGAAGACAGACAGAACAGGGCTTCTGGTGCTAACCAACAGGTCACCCTGGTAAGCTGTTTTAAGAAAAGTTTAAGTAATGGGAGAGAGGCTATTGGTTTGCTAATTGGGTGATAAAGACTCTTATTCAGCTCTGGGCTACCTTGCTCACCTGTCAGTTTACTACAAACAGTCTGACAAGCAGGGAGGGAGATTGAAAAGCTCCGTATCATCAACAGATGCATGCACTGCACCCCCCTCCTCCCCCCTTGCCTCAGAGTGCTAGCAAGGGTCTGGGGCTGACAACTTTCCCACCCCTTGAGCAGCCAGGGGGAAAAGCCTGGGATGGTGCAGGCAGACCTCCCTAATGAGAGGGTCCTGCTGGGGCCTGGTCATGCTCCCCTCAGCTCAACTCTGTGCAAGGGAAGGGAGGGCTGCTCTAGCACCCCTAGCTTCTAGCCTGAGCCACTGCAGGCATGTGCCTCAATTTCCTCAGTCCAGAGAGAATGTCTGTCCAGTTTCCAACCAGTTGAGCCTAGTCAGGTTAAACTAACCTTCAAAGGTTGAATCAATTCAGGCTCAGGCTTTTTGAATGTCTGTCCCTAGCCTAGGTGTTTCTTCAGTTGCTCTTTCAAATCCTTCTTCCAGTTACCTGTCTTCTCTAATGGCAATAGTTCATTGCCAAATAAAAAATGATAGAGAAGAGGGGATTGCTGATTTATATAATACACGGCCAGGATTTACAAACCTAGATGCCCAAAATCAGGCTCCTAAATCTTCACCTGGAGGCAGCTCCTGGAGCTCTTAAACCCTGGATTGTCCACATATTAACACCTTAAAGTGGTTTTAAGCACTCATCATGCAGCTCAAAATGATACCAGGACAGGATTATCTTTGATCTGCACTACCTAGTTCCTGTTCCATTAAGGTGTGGCCACTCCCCACAGATATGCCACCCAAGTTGAAGTCCTCCAGTAGCCCGGGATCTCTCATGCTCCCATGTGTGGAGCAGGGATAGAAGACTGTTAGTGGCAACTTACATCTAGAGCTTCAAGTTCTGTCCCTGCTCACCATGCCTCTAGTAGCAAGTCATAGCTGTGCAGGTGGGGGACAGTCAGAGAAGGTTTCTAGACTGAGGCTGTGAATGTCCCAAACTAAAACCAGCACAGATCAACATTTGTGCGGCTCACAGCATAAGGTGTAATAGGCCCCCAGACTTTCCAGAGCTGTCCTCATATGTCAGAGATGATTGATACCCTTTGTTCCTACAGACTTAAATGATGACTTCTGTGCTTATCACTGTGAAAAAAATCAGGGCATTGTATCATGAAGCTTATGATTATGGATCTAGGAGGCTAATCAGAAGCACCCAGTTTTAAAAATTTTGGCCTGTATTTTTACATCATTTGAAACTATCAAATTGTGGAAACAGCTAGCTTAACTATGCAAAACCATAGTTTCCATGCCAAAAACTTTCATCAGCACATCTCAAAGTATTTTTGGATAATTAATAAACAAAAAAAAACCCCAACAAATTTATTATTAATAATATTATTACTGTCTGTTAGTTATTGTTCTATAGCACTTAGCAGCCTTAGTTATGAACTATGGCCCCTTCATATAAAGTGCTGTACAAGCAGAGAATTAAAGCGAGTTTTTGTACTGAGGCACTTATGGAGACTAAGGTTACATACAGATGTTTCAGAAGATTAGCAGGAGGTTAGATCACGTTAAAAATGGCCACCCGATCTAACTTAGTTCATCCAAGTGCGGTCCTTACACTTAGGTCCCTAGTTAGGTGGATCTAAATGTGAATGGTACAGAAATCCAGAACAGTTAGATTGGTCAAAAGTGGCTGACCCAAGCTAAGTTAACTGGAACTCCGAGGTAGTCTAACTTAGATCAGGTCTAGCAAGACTGAACTAACTGAACATCTGTACAGTTCCCAGCGCAGCCCTGGGGCTGCAAAAGCCCAGCTGCTGGTCCCAGCCCTGGGTGGAGCTGTGCTTTTCCTATGCAACCCCCTGGCACCAGGCTATTTTTAGCCCCCAGCTCATTGCCCCTGTTCCAGATGAACAACCTCCCCTCCTCCCCCCTGCAGACCAGCCAGCCCACCTGAACCTGCCAAACACCCCATTCCGCAAGCTGCTTCTGGTGCTGGTTTTACTGGCATTCCCCAGTGCCAGCAGCTGAGGAAGTAAATCAGGGTGGGCAGGATGGGAAGGTTGGTTCATTGGGAGGTGGGGTTGTTCACCTTGGGGTGGGAGCATTGAGGGAGCTAAAAATAGCCCCAGGTTGGGTGGGGAGGAAGAGCCCCTCCATCTCCACAAGCACCCCCCTCAGACCCTGCTAATCTCCCCCCCAGTGAACTGCGCTAGCCCCCTTGTGGACCCTGCTTGCCCCTGGATCTACCCCCTGAGCCTGCTTTCTCCCCCCAATTCCCCAAGCCCCCCACTAGTTCCCCCCATCCCAATTTACCTTGGGTCTGATGGCCATTTTTAACTTGATCTAACCTCCACCTAACCTCTCTGAATGTCTGTACCTACCCTAAGACAACAGTCTGCTACAACAAATTGATGAGGGTAGCATAAATAAATGAAGAGACAATACTCATTATTAGGAGTAGTCATTCTATCATCTGTCTGTCCAGGGGCTGGCCTCTGATTTCCTCTTCTTCCACTAAGGATTGTTATTGCCTTTGTGATGACGTTTATTAAGGAACAACCCCTCATGTGCCTCTTCTACAGGCAGACAATTATCATTCCCCCACTATTTTGCAAATAAGGTAACTGAGAGGTGGCATAAGGTCACTTCAGGCAGAGCTGTGAATAGACCTCAGGACTCTCATATAACAAAACCAAATCTCATCCACTTAGCCAGAAAGCCTTTCAGGATGAATATGACAAGCCTGTACTTGTCTGCCTGTACCCACTGCTCTAGATGCTAGACCTCCCAAAGCCAGGAATAAAACTGAAGCACCCTGATACACACATTCCAGTATTGTCTCACAAATAGCTGTGTTACACAGGCAAAGTGTGAGTAGTGATCCTCACTAAGGGTTAATCCACATACAGGATAACAGCCTGTTGACTCTTTAATGTTAGTGGAAGGGATCTGTCTACTACTGCCTATATTGAAGTGGGGAAATAGTATGTAATTATATCATTAAAGACTGGATCATAAAACAAATGCACAAGGAAGCAGAATTAAGTTGGCATTTTCTAAATTGGAGTGTTTGATATTGCAATCTTTATGTTATTTTAACGTATTTAAATGTGTATATTAAATGTATATGCATAACTAGGCAACTGGTTCCTAAGTTAATATGAAAACTTCAGAATACCTGCAACTGTTAAAATTGTTTTTATAGCAAGTAAATTTAGCTTTTGTGTTGATTTTGTTATTGCATTATGGTTTTATTGTTTGTATTTTGATTAACTGGAACTTTTCTGTAAAGGCAGTACAGGCTGGGGTAGTGGGTTGTAGAGAGTGCATATCAAAAACTTCATGCCAGACCCAGTTTTCATTTTTGAAGGCATAACTTTGGCACATATTGGAGGACTATATGCCTCAAAACATTGTTAATGAAGTACAGAGCCTTCATCTGTAGGGAATCAGCTTTCATCTAGTTTAGCTGTTTTCATTGTTCCCCTTAAAAATGAGCTGGGTTGGTCTTTGCTACCACTCTGCAACTCAGTCATAACTATGCTATGCAGATTCAGGAGAAAAATGACAATTACATGTGCCATGAAGACTGACCTGCCTTTGCTACCACAAGAGGAAATTGCCCCTCATCCTGTGTCAGTGATGTGGCATGTTAGATGGAAAGCTTATCCTGCTCTTATACTACTGGCCTTGACACAGGAGTAAGCAGTAAGCTTTGATGTACAGAGACATTCTAGCTGGGAGGTGGAAGAAGGGAATCATTTGCCTGAAGATCATATATCAAATGAACAAGGTTATAATTATGATCTTTGTGCAACAATTATAGGTGATCTGAGGAATGGGACTTTGAAGGAAGCATAAAATGGCAACTGTCCCTTTGGTAAAGTATTAATCACACACCAGCTGCATGGGGGGTTCACATCAGTGTCATGTGGTAGATCTTTAATTAAAAAGATTCCAAATTTAAAGAAAAGGGTCCAAAATTAAAGTTAGGAACTTATCGGTATCCTGGGATCCACAGGAAACCAGAGAAACATCATCCTTGTTGCTGAAATTGTTAGAATATATATGCATTTGACAGATTGTCGATACAATTACAAAAGAACTCATTTATTTGACATGGAAGACTAATGCTGAAGTCTTTTTTTTCCTGAGAAGACTGAGCAAGGACTTGAAACCAGGTCTCCCACATCCCTGGACAGTGGCTATTTTAGAGTGCATGAGGTGTTCTCTCTCTCTCTGATTTTAGAGTCATAGAGAAGTAGGGCTCCAAAGCATATAATCCAATCCCACTCCTGAGGCAGGATCATCTCTATGCAAACCATCCTATACAGATCCATAGTCTAACCTCTTAGCAAAATTACAGTCAACCCTGACACAACACAAGACATAACACCCTAGTCTGCCAAGAGTAAAGCAGGGGGACCATGGTAGCCAATGTCCTGCTTTTGCAAGAATTGTTAAAGTATGCTTGAGAGATCTCAGGGAGGGGGCCATGCCCCCCGATACAGAAGAAAGCAAAAACCCCAGCAGTCCATACAGATATGACTATGGGGTAAAATTCCTTTCTGACCCCAAATATGGCAATTGATCTGACCCTGCATGAAGGGGTAAGACCTTCTAGGCTGGAATCTTTGGGTTTAAGTCCCACCAAGAGCCCTGGCACACCCCAGTCAAAGTCCCCAGCCTTTGCTGCAACTTCAAGCTATTGGCTTGTGTCCAACTCTCTGCAGCAAGAAAGAAAAGTTGTGCTCCCTCTTCTTTATGGCAGCCCTTCAAGTATTGGAAAACTGCTATCATGTGCCTTTTTAAGCACCTTTTCTGCAAGCTGAACATGCCTAGCTTCTTCAACCTCTCCAGGCACCTCTACATGTGCCAGATGTCTGCTCCATTGCATGCTAATTAGCACATGTTGGAGCAGACTCAATTAATTGAGTGTGCTGGAACATGCTAATTAGTGTACTCCAGCAACCTTTGTGTCATGTCTATTCAGCATCGGCACGCTTCAAAATGGCAGTGGGGGTGCTTTAACTAAAGCTTGAAGAATGAGCTTTAGTTAAAGCATCCCCTCTGCCATTTTGAAGTGTGGGACACTGAATACACATGACATTGTGGGCACTTTAATTAGAGTGGCACTCGCAGAGCTACTCTAATTAAAGTACCTCCTTCCACCCTAGAGCATGGGTATAGATGTCCTCCTTGTATGACTTGCCTTCCAAACCCTCTATCATCTTTGTTGCCTGTCTCTGGACCAGGTCTAACTTCTCCGTATCCTTTTTAAAGCGCGGAGCCCAAAACTACATATAATGCTCTAGATGAGGCCCAACCAGTGCTGAGTAGAGAGGCACCTCCCATGCATTGCACCTAATACTTCTACTGACGTATCCCATAATCACATTTGCCTTTTGAGCAGCTGCATCACACAGCAGACTCATATTGAGTCTGTGATCTACCAAGACCCCCAGATCCTTCTCTGTAGTGCTGCTATCCAGCCAGGTGTCACCCATTTTGCATATGTATTTTGATTATTCTTCCTGAGTTGTAGCACCTTGCATTTCTCAGGATTGAACTTCACCCTGTTACCTTCAGCCCAGCTTTCCAATCTGTCAAGGTGCTTCTGAATTGTGCCCTGTCCTCCATCATGTTTGTAATCCTTACCAGTTTTGTGTTGCCTGGGAACTTGGTCAAGTTTCAGCTTGAACAATTTGTCATTTCTGGCAACAACTTGTTTTGTCAGAAAATTCCCAACCATCTCTTATAAGTCCTATGTCTCTACCTATTTGGATTTGTGGAAGGAGCATAATTAGGGCTGTTGAGGTAAGACACAGTTTGGTTTGAGGTGTAATTTTGCTTGATTTAATTTTAGGTTGGTTATTTTTAGTTTTGAGGATGAAGGAATGCTGCTGACTCTTTTAGATGCTTTAATCAATGTTGCTTAGGGTTCAGGCCAGTCACTTAAAAAGTACTGGTTACAAATTAATAGCTGGTAAATAAAAAAAAATGCCTGAATTGCCTAACACAGTACAGTCAGGAAAATGGGAAGTAGCAAAGGAATAGTAGCAACTTGATAATTTATCTCCATGCCAGTCATCTTCATTGCCTTCCACTATGTGGGCCATAGATTTTGAGGCCAGGAGGAATGCTTATGATCCTTTGATTTGATTTCCTGCATAACACATGCCATAGAATATCATTTAATAATGTCTGCATTAAACCCATCACTGCAGGTTGAACTGTAGCTGATCTTTTGGACATATATGCAAGAGTTTAGAAAAATCTTTCCCACTTTCTGAAATTTTACAGTATGATTAAATAGCTGTATCACTGTCATCCCTCTCACCTCCTGTTTTGCTTTGGTTTTTCTTTTAAAATATAAATACAGGTTTAAGTTTTAATTTTGTCAAGTTGTGAAACGTGGTGGCTAATTCTAAGAAGTGACCTGCTATAGTAATTCATTCCACTTGAAGCTCAGAAGAAAAAAAGAAAAGTTTGTCACTTTTTCAGTTAGTACTTGATGAAACTCAAGAGTCAATGGATAAGACTGCCAGCAACTTTGGGAACTAGACTGGAAAGCAAATTTGGTATTTTCAAAGGAGCCTAAGGGAATTAGGTACCTAGGATAATTCCCATGACAGAAGTGCCAAGTTTATCTGCTTTATAGAACATGACCTAGAAGATGATTTTAAAGGAGTCTTATGTGACTGTAACTAAAAAAAACCTTGCAGCTGTTCAATAGATGTTAGAGCAGGCCCATTATAAAATGTACTATGGTATGCCATAATGGTTAGGATACCAATACGTTCTATTTTTAGTACCATTGACTCCATTGCTTTGTGTTCAGAAAATGAGCAGTGAGCATTTGCTTATTAAAAGGGGTTTCTCTGCCATTAGTTTTCTTTTTTAATATTATATCCTTTTGCAATTATATAGGAATTTTTTTCTTTGCTAGTTCTAGTAACTGCCCCACAGACAACAATATCAACACTTCTTTTCTGGCATTTTGAAGCTGACTTGTAAAAGTTCAGTAAGATTTAAAAAAAATTAAAATCCAATGTAATAAAATAAAACAACAGCAGTTGTTTCTTCCACAGCATACATGGTCTCAGGCTTTTTAACTAGCAAAAAACCTGAGGGGGTCTTCCTTTGGGCTACTGTACTGTATGTTGTACTGCTGGCATTGTCAAAACAAATATCAACTTTACTTCTGTCCATGACTCTGATCCAATATCCCTGTCAGAATGTTTTACAAGTGTTCGGCCAAATGTTTGTAGAGCAGCTGTACCACTGGTCTGACTGAGTCATATTCCTTCTTTCCTTTTGGCCACATAGTATGATTCATCTTTCTTCTTTTAGAGCATTTGCCTATTTTTAACATCCGTACAAGAAAGCAACAACTACTTAAAGGTAAACACTTGCATATAGATGTGAATCAATTTTATGCAGTTAAACAGCTTAAATACCTTGCAAGGGAAATACTGCGCAGGGGGAAAAGGGCTTTTGTAAATGCTACTGGAAACTGAGCTCCTAGAACAGTGGTTCTCAAACCTTTTTAGACTCAAGACACTCCTTGTTAGACCTAGGGCACCCCTCAGAAGATGCCAGCTCTTCATTTTCACCCAGTTTATTTATTTATTTTTTGTCTCTGGGAAAATAATAGGGCAATTCTTCTATTGAAAAGAACACAGAGACTACAACAAATCAAAATATTTTTGTCACTGTGGATTCCTATTTGAAATCTCTTGGTTTATCTTGCGAGTCATGTGCAGGTGTTTGCACCCCTAATATTGTGTGGCAATCACAGACATCTTTTAGAAGGATCTCATGATACTCCCGGGGCTCCGGCATTCTGGTTGCGAACTACTATCCCAGAATCTCCCTGGGGGAGGGAACCACTATCTCAGTTGTTACTTACACAAGTTCATTGAGATGATGGTTTGCATTACTGTTGATGTTGTCCTCTTTTCTACTACATTTTTCCTTGGGGCAATCTTCACTTGTCTTCTTTGCATCATCATTCACAACAGCAAGCACAATATAAGTCATAATAAAGGCAGCATAATTCCTTAGCAGCTGACAGCCAATGGTATTAGTTAAAACGAGCCTCTTACTAGATGTTGGTCAATATGCACATGCTTCATGGAACAAGATGTCTTACTTTACCTAACTCAACTACCACTGCCACAATGCTATACGACCACCAACAGTAGCACACGGACAGTAAAATACCTGGCAAGGAAATACGATACTAATACTGATAAATGAAAGATTTCTGTGTTTCCATCAACAAGTGCAGGAGTCTGCACTGAAGAGCAGGTTGCAGTAGCTGGCTTAAGTTTGCAGTTTTCCTATGTGAAAATCACCCCAGTTGATAATATGGTGATGTATTATATATGACAGAGTCTGAAGACTAGCTGAGAGTGAAGAAGATCTAGTAATCTTCTGCAATCTGCAGTAAAATCCATAGACAGGCATCACAATCTAATGTATAATGGATGGTATGAAAGAAACCGAGTAATAAATATTGCACTGTCTAATAATGATGCCACATGGGTATGATTCACATTCCTGTACTCAGCCCAGGTCCTGGTGGGCAGGTGTCCACATCAGAAAACTGATGTAATTAGCACTCACCATCACACCTTGCAGGTAGCCCGTGGTGTTAAAACACTATGATTCTGTATAGCATAATAGGTAAATGAACTTTCTCTCTCCCATTTTATTTCTCTGGACCTAAGCAGAGACCGTTGCCATCCAAGGCTGTCAGTCAGATATATTCCATGGGGATAATTCAGTGTAAAGAAAGAAGTGTTTCTGGTATGGCTGTGGCATACCCTAGCAGAAAAATCTCTCTTACATCTATTTGGAAGTTACATTTACAATTAGATTCAGCTGTGGGGTATGTTGACTTCTCACTGGAACTTGTTAATGCCCTCCATTTTCAAAAAAAAACCTCAGATTCAGTGAAGTATCATTGCTGAAAACCTAATTCTTTGGACTGTACTTGAGGAATAGGAGACAGAAACTATGTCCATTATCTTTTTAACACATTATAATATATTCTCCTAGTATGAACAAGTTTTAATTATTGTAGTAAGAGGTCAGGCACATACCCAGCCTACATGTATGCATGCTTAACTTTACACTCGTGTTTATTTCCCCTGAGCTCCATAAGACTACTCACATGTATGTAGGCGCTTGTGGGATCAGGGTAGGAGCATGAACTTAGATACCACTCTACATGGTCAGTAGATCACATAAAATGCCTTATAGTAAACATTGTTATTTTATTTTCTTTCAATTCATTGCATTTTAGATGATGCTCCCCCTGAAAGCACCTTTCCATTGGCATTTCCTGACCTAGATCAGCAGCTTCAGGTAAATGTGATTTTTATTTTAAACTTTGATTTTTTACCAGCTGGCCTGGATTGATTTATAACTAAAAATAGTACATTGCTACAGTGAGAGTTGAGTGGCTGGGCACAGATCCAAACTATAAAATTGTAATGTCCCTATAATATCAGCAAGAAAATTGATTTGTCATTTCTCACCCAAGTACCAGGCAATGTTGTCATTTTAACAGCCTCAGCTTTTTCTTTTAAATTTACCAATGATTTTTGTATAAATTTTAGCAGGGTACAAAATCATCCTGGTGCTACTGAAGTAAAGGAGTTTCTTTGCC